TTTTCAAAATATTGTTGTCAGTTTCTTATGTGTTCATTTAATGCCTGAAGAGCTTACTTAAAAATAAACATGTTTTATTTAAAATTAATTTTATTTATTTTGGAACAAGTAATACATTTACATGATTAAAAACAGAAAAAGGGCAGGGGATTTAGCTCAGCGGTTTCACTGCCTTCTGTGCAAGTGCAAGGACCCGATTTCAATCTCCGGTACCAAAAAAACAAAAAACAAAAAAACAAAACAGAAAAAGTATAGAAAGTATATATCTCCTATTTTTTCTCAGTACCATTCTCCTCATATATAATAATACAATTAATTTCATGTATATTCCTCCAAGCAAATATAGACACTGTTCTTTTCCACAACCTTTGTTTTACACAAATAGGAGAATCATGTGCTTAGTGTTAGACAACTTGTGCTTTGTCTTTAACATTTTACCTTTTAGATACTTACATATCAATAAACAGAGAATTTTCTTCTTCCTTTTTAAAGCTTCATAGTAGTCCATCATATGTTCCAGTTAATTTAAGCAATATCCTAGTGATAAATACACATACTATTAATTTTTTGTTAAGAATAAAATTTATTAAAACATTCACTAATTGAGACCAGAGTCTCTCTGCAAGTAGAGACCAAGATTACTTTTTCACATTTAATCCCCAGTCCCCAGCACAATGTCCAACAGATAGAAGCAAATACTAAAGTGCTTAGGAGGTCTATGTCTAGCCCTACCCTCTCCACAACTGTTTCCCATGGCTGTCTCTTACCCAGTCACTGTAGGAAGGTAACACTGAAAATCCTGAAGTAGAGTTACTCTATAGTTGTTCTGTGGCTCATTCTTAAACAATTAACCCCTTTCCAAAATGGTAACTGATTCAACAATCTCAGGCAATCTGGCAGGCACTACATGAGGTTTCTTCTCCTACTTTAGCATGCCATGAAGGAATCACTTAAGGAGTAAAACCTCATGCTGTTTTTATAGTTACATTATCTGTGGACTTCTTGGGGATAGTACTGCTTGCCTGGTCCAGAATTTTTCCCTCGACCTGCCAAACATCTGGGCTTACCTTGTCTTCCTGAGTGTTGGCCTTGTCCATGAACAGGTTGGTTGGTTGGTTAGTGCCTCTGCTGCCCCATGCCAAGAGGAAAGAAAATGTAGAGTTGGCTAGTGGCCATGTCCAAGTCATGGAATCCATGGGTGAAATGTTGTTTTGGGGGACCAATGCATGGCTCCAGTTTTCTGAGGGGGTGTGGCTCCAACATCAATCATCATGAGGATGCACATTCAGAATATTTCTGAAGGTAAAGTATGATGTATTATTTAGTTGTTGCTGTGTCATTCCCTTTGAAACAGGAGCTATCCAGGACTGCTGGTGGATGGTAGAAACATAAAAGGCTAAATTACTAAAATCAAGTTTGCTGATATTACTTTGATCAAGTATTATGGCTAATTTCAGTGGAGTGGGAGGTACTGAAAGTCACAAAGTAAAGGGTATGAATGCACAATTCTAGAATGATGACAGTGTGAAGAATTGGGAACAGCAATCCAATCTATTGCACTATGTCATGAAATATAAATTTGCCTCTCATCCCTCATTGCCAAGTTACTCCCCTTCAAAAATGCAATCACTCTTGCCAATTACTAATCATTAACCCAGAAATATCTTTGAATATATGACTATGTAGATATCTATAATTTCAACAGTTATTGCCACATTGCTCACCAAAGTACTTGCACTAGCTTACAGTACAGCTAACTGTGAATAAAACATACTATTCTTCACATATTCAACAACACTGTATACTATTGAACATTCATTTGTCATTATAGTTTAGATTTTAGTTATTTCTCAATTTATCTATCTATTTGCCTTTTTTTTTATAAAGCATGTTTATTTCCTTTGCCTATTGTGGGGGGCCTTGCCCCCCCCGCTAGAACTCTTGAGTGCCTTTTACTGGCATGTCTGGGCCTGCTGCAAGTCTACCCGGCAACAAGGAAATAGCCCCAGTACCCTCCCCTTGTTCCTTCCCTCTAGCCCTACGGTATATATGCTGTATCAGCTTCTGCAATAAACGAGACTTGATCAGAAACCTGTCTTGTCTCCATCTCTCGTGTCTCTTGTCCCTTGTCATTCTCCCTCCCCCTCTAGGGTCTCCGTTGACGTACCTGCGGGCCGGGACAGCCTATTTTTATATTGGGGTGATTTTTTCCAGTTTGTGCCATTCTTTCTACATGGTAAATGGTTATCAACTCTTGGTGGACTCAGTAATGTTCTTGATATTATTAGGGAGACAATATTATTCTAGTAAGACATGGGAATTGATTTGTTTGTACAGCAGTAGTGACTGAGTTGTATTAAGCTATGCCTATACTCTCACCTATTTTTTTTCATGTAACTGAAGCATTTGGGCAAAAAGGCCATTAGTAGGAGGGTCACTAGCCATAATTTGATGATTGTACTTGGTTTATGAAGTAGATTGGGCCTAATTACTTTAAAAATATGATGATGGCCTTGTTCTTAAGTACTTATTGTTGGATATGATCTCATTATTAGCTCCGTTGGTAATTAAACGACTACCCTCTTTTTTTTCCCCTAGGGTTAATTAATTGAAAGATTTTCTTGAAAATGCTTCTCAAATGTTAATGTGTATGCAAAATTACCTAGGGATCTTGTTAAAGTGCAAATCATGATTCATTAAGCCTGTGGGTTGGGCCTGAGATTCTGCATTTTAACAAGCTTATAGGTCATGCTCCAATGCTGATGTTCCATTGATTTAACTTTGAGGAATAAAGTACTAAACAATGAAGTCTTAACAAGCTGTTTTCTGAAAGGGCATTTCCTCCTTCTCCATTTTTTGGCATTGTATTCCTTTTTGGATCATTTATTCCCATATCCTCATCTCCTTTGAGATCACATCATTTAACCATAAACCAGACTAGTAGGATTGTCTGTACAAGGAGCTATCTTTGATGGGACCAAGAGCTACTCTCTCATCTAGAGAAAAGCTACTGGTCTACCATGGTGCTTTAAAGTATGAATTCTGGAAAGTTTTCTTAAAGTCTCTGGTACAGAGTGATGTTATCTTGGACCAAAAGGTTAGCCAGATTAGTTAGGTATTAATCAGACTGGAATACCAGCCATTGTCAGCAGAGAGAATACTGAAAGAACTGTAGGTAAAAGGAGGGTATGTTTAATGGGTTGCAAGTACAAAACATGATATACAAAGTCACTGGGTATTATAATGAAGTTAAATCAAATTGGATATAGTAAGATAATGAAAGGAGGTATCAATGGGACAGGACCAGGTTTTTTTAAAATCTATGTTTTATGTTTTCATAAAAATGTACCTATTGGCTATTGACACTTTGCCTATGGATATCATTGGCTAGTATCTCGAATTTGCTCCCTTCACCCTGACTTTTGGCTTCTTAACATGCTAATATAAGTGAAAGATTTTATGCTTTGGCCAGATGGCCTCATTTATGATAGCCCTCCTGCTCAGCTAAGTTTCAAGGGTCTGAAGGTTGGTGCTGTGTTCAAGAGCAGATTTTATGCACCAGTGAAACAACCAGCAAGATAAGACTTGAGGAGATGGTGTTTTTCTGAGCCTTACACCCAATACTGTTGCCATTGCCAGGTGGCATTGAGGGCCAGTAAGGGTAATAGAGACACAAAGGTGGAAGGAGGTTGGTAGGTTGTGGTGGTGGCTGGAGGTGGTGGATGAGGGTTGCACATGGCAAGCAAACAGGCAGAGGGAAGCTTGTACCAAATGTATAGCAAGGGGAAGACTGTATGGCAACCTCCCTATGATTTTTATCCAAAAAGAACAATTAAATAAAAGCAAAAACTTCAGGGCATGTTCCCTGTTCGCAATACAGTCTGTTTTCCCTCCATACACATAAACAACAACAACTAGAGGACAGTGGCAGTATTGCTGACCTTTCCTTTCACATCAGACCTCTCTAGATGTCTGGTTTTAATTCCAATGACAGAGGTAATTTTCCATGATGGAAGGTGGGGTTTTGTGAGATTTGATGGGTAGGATGGTCCATACAGGAAACAGTACATAATCTTGGCAAGAGAGGTGTGAGTGGGAGAATAATAACAATTTTGCACAGGCTCCAGTCTTAAAAGTTGTGTGGACTGTGAATGGAGATTAAAGGGCCAAGGAAGCAGATTATAAAGGCATAGATCTTCTGTGTTTTGCATCCATCTCCTCTTTGCTAGCCCTGTGGCTAATGCAGAAGGATGGAGAAGCTCCGGAAAACAGCTGGAGAAAGCTCAGAGAAAGAAAAATAGGAGCTCAGGGTAGCAGCAAATGCTGGCACACAGCACTCAACTGACTCATTAAATAAGCAATCCTGTTAAGTGCGTTAATCAGCTCAGCGCCCAAGAACCTGGGGGAACGTTCTAGAAGATACCTGAGGTGGAAATAGGACTGTTCATTGTTGTGACCTAGACCCTGAAGGTCCCTGGGTCATAGTCACTTACCTCTGTTTCTCTTAAAGACAGGAGTTTGGATGGACGATGTCGGAGAGGAGAGCAGGTGATCAGGGGCGTGACTGACAAGCTGCAGGCATGCAGAAGCGATCAGCACTTTTAGCTGTGAGCCCCCGCCCCCAACACACACCAAGGCCCCAGTACATGGGAGGGGTGGAAAAGAGGAGTTCTCCTGCTACCGGGGATCTTGCACTATAAATAATAATAATAATAAAAAATGTGGCTTGTACCTTTAAAACATTAAATTCTGGCCTGCAGGGAACTAAGTAGGTAAACTAGACACCAATTCAGCTGCTGAAACTGAGGGCCAGGGAAGTTGAAAAGGTGTCTTAGTGGTTTCCCACACTTACATGTATTACATGTACTCAGCTGAACGCTCTCCTCAACCCTGTATCCTAGGCTACTCTGGTATGGACGCTAGTCGGCGCTGCCGGGTCGTGCTTCCCTTCTCCGGGGAAAGGTAAAGAGAAGCGCGTTTTTAAACGAGGGAATGGGAGACTTGGGGTTGGCAGCTTTTTCCACTCTTCTTACTTTGTCCCTTCCCCTTGAGTTCCCAAATCCAAAGGGGTGTGGAAGAGGAGGAGGGAGAGAAGGAGGAAGTGGAGGAGGAGGAGCAGAAGTATTGCTTGTCCATGATGCACCAGAGCTGTTCTAATTCCCACCTAGCCCCCTTGCAATCAGTTAGCCAGAAGGCACCAAACTCTTAGCAACGAAGACGCAACCTTTGGTGACTTCCACTACTTCTCATCCCCTTCTCCAGACATATTTCGGAGATGGAAGCAGCGATGGCAGGATGTGAGGCAAGCCTGGAGCTCACTTCCCGGGAGTCGTTCGCTCTTTGGAGCTAAGGAGTGTGAGTTTTTGCGCACTGGCTGGAGGGTTCCCGGGAAACGCTGGAGCGGCACAAGAGGGAGAAAGGCAGGCAGAGTTCACAACTGCCGCTGCGTTTGGGGGAGGTGGTGGGTCTGCTTCCTTCTGGAGTGTCCGTGCCTCACAGGGGGCTCGAAGGCTACAGGCTGAGGCGCTCACATTACTGCGTGCACTGCTTGGCCTAGGCAAAGTGCTGCTGGAATGAGACTCCTCCAAAGCAAAGGAGGAGGTTGGGAGGCTGGACCCTTAGGAAACTAGAGAGTCACTAAGCAGAGGCAGCACCTGCCATTCTAACTAAACGGCGGAATGATTTAAGAACTCTTTAGCCGCTCTCTCTGGAGCTCCCTCGCCCCGAGTCCACAGAAGCTCTGCGGAACTCTAGAAATCTTCCCTAGGCGGACAGAAGTTTCTGGGTATCCTCCCTGGCTAGGACTGGGGGCTGAGAAACCCGCTAAGCTGTTCTGTCTGCTGCTTGGGAAAACACTATCTTCCTCCAGCCCTGCTTGTCATTGGGCAGTCTCTGACCGCCTGCTAAGTCTAGCCTGAGCACTCATCGAAACTCGGCTCGCCATCTCGCTTTGGACATGGAATTACGCGCCTGAGACCTGATGGACATTGCCGGTTGTTTTACAAGACGCAGGTAACACCCGCTTGCGGAACCGGAGAATTGGCTCGCCAGGCTGGGGGGAGGGGGGGTGGGGTGGTGGTTGTTGAGCTCTCAGGTGACAGCAGGGAACAGGCAATCCGTAGCCAACAGAGGCTTTAGATCTCCTGCAGCCTTAGTCCCAGCGCTAGGAAACTTGCTAGTTTGCCTTCTCTCCCTTCGGCTCTCTCAGAAAGTTTAGAGGCAAGAGCTCCCAAGGCCAGAGGCTCTTTTCCTGGTAGGAGCCAGCGTGATTGCTCAGGTGCGGCAGGCAGAGCTGGTGCTTTGCATTCCCGGGGCGGGATCTTTGTGGTCTCTGTAGCTAGCTAGCTAACACAGGTTTTGCAGCCTGCAAAACAATTTTCTTCTAGGCACTTCTGACTCCCCCACCTTTCTGCCAGCAGTCAGGAGAGCACTCTAAGGGGATGGGGTTCAAGGCAGCTCCAGAGTGGAGCAGTAAGGGGTTCCCCAGCATGTGCTCCTGCTCCTGAGAATTCCCACGGAGCACCAGATGTAGTAGAGCACTGGCTATTTGGAACAATCTCTATTTTTCTGCCATTAAAGCCTAAAAGAACAGTCCTGCTGAGCCCCAGACAACCCTTTTCCATGCAAAAATCTTAGCTGCCCCTTTTGTGGGTTTTCCAGGTTGAATGAATCTTTGCTCGCTGTCGTTCAGGGGTGAGTTACCAACCAGTGTCCACTTGCACTTCACAGTCCTTGTGATGGAATCCCAGAAAGGGAGAATAGGAACAATCACCCGCAAGTGTCTCACCTTGCTGTGAGCCCTGGATTGGAGCAACCAGCTTCCTTTGTCACTATTAGAGAGTTAAGAAAAATGCTTTGGCAAGGAGACCAGGAAAAGAAAGTGTATGTTATGTACAATTCTCTTCTATGGGTTTTTCCTGGTCCCCACAGCAGCCACTCCTTTCTCATTTCTGTAACCCAGGAATTTTAGGGAAGACATTAGTAAATAAGTATATAAGGTCTCCCCACACACTACCCACAGAAGTTACTAGTGGGCAGAAGTACTGGAAAACAACTTCTCTGCTGAATGCTAACCTGGGGCCCACCACTGGTATTTTTGTTGTTGTTTGGAGGGGGAATCTATTTAAGAAGAATATCTTCTCCCTGAATGGGGAAGTAGCACCTGCCCACCAATACATCCAACCCCATCTTGTGTGACCTTTGAAAAAGAAATATTTTTTCTTGGCCAGGGGAACCAGGTTGTAGATTATTAAACAAGTGGTGCAGCTAGAGACCCAAAGAAAAGGAGGGAGCAAAGAAATAACATGTTCTAGAGGTTTTGCAAGTTCAGTGGGTGTCTCACAGCTCTGTCAGATGATGGCAATTATGGGAGAAGGCTCCTAGGAATGAAAGTTAGTGTCCAGGACATATGTGAGATGTTGGGGAGTCATTTAATTACTGACAGTCTCTTCCCCCAGTCTACCTTATAGCAAGGGTTCTTCCGGAGGATTTGAGAGTAGTTTTGTTTGTGCAGTGCTGAACCACTGGGCTCTTTGTCTCCAAGTGGAGGGTATTTGGGCTTCCACCTTGTCTTGGAGCTCAGAATATATTCTTCTTAGTGCTCCCTGCTTCCCCAGAGGGGAATTGGGCGATTACTTTGGGACTTAGAGTAGAATTCCCAGGTATCTCTGAGCATGGGCTTCAGCCAAAGTACCTGCCTGCATCCCTTTCATCCCTTTCTACTTCTTTCCTCTGGAGAGCAAACTCTGCTGTAGGATCAGTATTGTTACGCCTTTCAGTGGCTTAACCTGATGCAGTGGTTTCAGTTCTGCTCTGCCTGCTCACTGTGTGAGAACTCCAATCTTCTAGCTGCCCTGGGCTAAAAGGCCTGCAATTATCCACTGTGGATCCAGGTGATTTAAATAGAAAGTACTTAATGCAGGTAAAAGGTTGCAGCATCAGAGGCTTCTGCTCAATCACTCTAGCCCCAGATAGTTGGAAGGAGGGACAAGCTATAGCCATAATTGCCTAAGTGACAGCAAGCCATGAGTGCTTCTGTTCAATAAACCAATGCCAGGCCTTCAGAGCAGTAGGGTCAAGGTTTAAAACCAGCTTTACAGTATAGCTATTCTGTCTATATTTTGAGCTGTCTTAACTGAGGTTGAGCAATGAGCCCGTTTCAGTTTCTGCAGCACTAGATCTGCTGTGTGCAGAGGCTAAAAGTAAAGGTAAGGTGTGGGGGATTACAGAGTGGCCCTGGACTGTGGGTTTTACAGGCAAAATCACATCAGAATCTTTATTTACAAATTAAATTCCTTAGAAGCAGTTCCTTAAATGCATAGTACCTTCTTGTTTGCCAATAACCAGCAACAAAGCACATAGATATTTATGCTGCTTACTAGGGTGAACTGATGGTGTGAACATCACTAGGGAACAGTTCAAATTACCCACCTGGAACATAGATCCACAGATGCAGAATCACTGATGTTTTATTTGTCTTTAAGAAAACATACTCTAAAGAACCCGACCATATAAAAAGATGAAATATAAAATGACAGTTACAATTTTGCTTAAAACAAATTTCATAAAATTTGTTGTCTTATATAATTCAGTGGATTGGCTTATTGCAAAACATTTGCAATTTAGGAAGAAAAGGGAAAGCTGGGAAGGCAAAATGAGTCAAAATTATGGTTTAAATGACTGTATACTCTGGTAAAAACAGAATTTTTTGTTCACACCTGCTCCGTAAAGGAAGTCATCATCACTATACTCACCGTGATAGTCTGAGTAGATTCTGTCATAGCCATATGTGGCTAGTAATTATCATATTAGAAAATGCAACTGTAGAGCGTTCCTTTCACCACAGAAATTTCTACTGGCAGCATTATTATACAAGAATTCTCAACATCTGTTTCCACCAGAAACATGTTCACAAAGGCACACGCTTTCATGGGTTTATGTAGTCATTTAAAGTTTCCAGTGCCATAGTGCTGCCACTTCCCTCCCTTCCCAGAAAACAAATCATTTAATAACATTATAGGAACAGCCTTGTCTATATTTGGGAGAAAATTGAATATGCACATCACTGCAGACACATAAATTCCAGATGCAATTATGAAGGAAAAAATTTAAATAACTTGTCCTCCACATATCAAATGGACTAGAAATTACAATAAATAAAATACTGTGATATTTTTATTAGAACAGACAGATTCATACAACAGTGTCCAAAGAAAGAGTCAAGTATACTATGGATTTTACTAAGTGAGTTAGAGGAGAAATCCATGAGTTAGAGGAGAAAGATAGATTTTTCAATAAATGAGGTTAATACAACAGGACTAACCATTAAAGGGATTTAATAAAGGTACTGTATCTGTACATACTGTTTAAAGTAATTCCAGCTGAATGGAAGATTAAAGTGTAAAAATTTGAAAAATGATAGATATTCAAAATATTTTGTTTTTTAAAATACTTATGATTTTACAGATTAGAATGCTTTTGCAATCTTTTCATGAAAATTGAGTTAAAAATATTAATAAATTTAACCATCAGAAATCTGTATGGCAAAAAAGCTTTAATCAAGATTTACAAAAAAAACAACTAGGAAAATATGACCTATAAGAATGGTTAGATGCTTTTGGTATGAAAGGAGCTTCTACACAGCAATTAAAAATAAATCCTTTAGAAAAATGGGGAAAATTCATGAACAGAATATTCACAAAAAAAGAAATACCAAACTCATTTTACAAATGAAAACTAATAATTTTCACATATCAGAGGAGGAAGGTTTAAAAGAGTAACAAAAATAAAGTATTGTCAAGGCTATGGGGATATGGATGATCTCATACATCATTTAAATTGGTCCATTTCCAGAGATTGGGCTGATAATCTATATAAAAAGGAAAGATGCTTTCTATGATTTTAAAATTTTAGTATTTATTCTAAAAATAATGCAGGTACTAAAAGATGTATAGACAAGAATGGTCATTAATGTTTTGATTATAGTACCAAAGCTTTGAAAACAATCTAAATGGCTGTAATAGTGAAATGACTATGTCAATTGGAATGTACCAATTCATTTAATTACTTTGTACACATTAAAGATAATGTAGAACTGCCTTTTTTATATGGAAATATATCCATAAACGCAATTTAGTAGAGAAGCTATGTTACAAACAACATAATTCATTTTCTGTAATTTTTTTTATTTCTGTACATCTGTGCAAATAAAACTATAAATTATATAGAAAAAATTCACCAAAATATTAATTATAGGTCGAGGGGTTTTGGATTTTCTTTTAAAAATCTGTTTGTGTTTTTAATCATCGTTTGTATTTATGGTGACAAAAATAAAAGCACATATGATATAATGTGTGTAAAATGCTTATCTCAGTATAAAAGACTCGAGTGCTTAAATCACGTTTGCAGTTACTATGCTTTTATAATTTACAAGATAAGCTAGTCAAAGTTAAATGCAAACTTCAAAAGAATTCAAGGATTAAATGTAAAAGAGGAAAGCATATGATAACTACAATAAAAGTTGTGGAGGAAGTATTTTCTAAAAATAAAACAGAGAAGGAGATCAAGAAAACTCATATTAATTTACATAAATATTGAAAATATGTGTAAAACATACAAGAAATGAGGAAAAACTGGAAGAAAAAATTGTAATATTTCATAGAGAAATGTCTATATTTACTCCAAAATAGAACTATCCATGAACCATCCCCAAATAAAACAATGTTACTTGGACTCTTATTTTTCACATAAAAAAATATATTTTATACATATACACATACAATTATTACACTATTTCAGATCCTACCTCTGATAATACTTGCAGTGTTTCTGAAGGCTTATGGATTGGTGGAGAAAGGAACATACACTATAATGTCCTGGTTTAATCAAATAAAAACAAAGTTTTATAAAGTGGAATCAGATGCAGCATATCTTAGCATGGTCTCACTCTGCTAGTTCCTTACTACCCTAGTTCCTTACAGATTTATTGTTGCCAATACCATTATCTGCACAGA